TACAGATAAGTGGGCAATGTGATGAAAACCTGTTTAATTATCAGAATTTTAATCTAAATTACAATATTAACCTTTTCCCTCATATAAGTGTGTTTCGACGGCTTTTTAGTTTACACAATCGATTGTGTTGGAAGCTATAAGCTTATTGAAACACTCTCGAATCCGTTCCTGGAACCAACCAGTACTAAGCAATGAATGTAAAGTTTCTTGCTCAAGGAAACAACAGCTTGCCCCTGACAGGGTTTGAACCCACGGCCTCAAACAGTGAAAAAAATGCCCTATTTAGTGTTTGGGGTTCGTTTGAGAAATGTTTTGTTAAAAAAAGTGACCACTTTTTCGGCACCGTCCCCCATCCAAATGTTACATAAGTGGGTTGCCAGAAGGGGGATGTGCAAAATGCAAAGCTGAGCAGGGTCACAGTATTGACTTCGTCCAATCAAACGACGTTTTAAAACCATTTGAAAAATTTATCGCAATCAAAATGCACTTACGATTAATAATATGTCAATACTTAACACGATAATCAACCAACAATATTTTGTTTTAGTCCCCTACCGGTTTACCGGAGGGGACTTTAGTTTTACCCTCCGTCAGTCTGTCCGTCCGTAGTACTACTGATAAAGCACATGGACAACTACACAGATCTGGAAGTGGGGCTTGTTGACACATTGTAAATAAGGAAAGTAGCATTGATGACATCAAATTGTCTGCTAGCTCAAAGGTGTAAACTGCTAGCAGGTTCTCGGGGGAATATTGGAAAGAAAATTAGAGAGAGCTCGCAGTGTAGATCAAAGCAAATGGACCCGGCACAGTGTTGCGTTTAGTGTAAAAAAAGTAATTTTAAAAAAAAATATATACTGTATATAATAATATATAGACAAGGGATTGAACTTGGCAAATCGGCCATTTGCCACTAGTCCAGTATAAGACAAAGTCTTTCTTACGCAAATCATATCAAGCTATATATCAATTTGCAGCTAAATGACATCACTAGACGTTGACAATAACATAATTGTCCCAACTTAAACTGTTTTTGAACAACAAAGTTACAAACTGATATTTCGAATGGAATATCATAATTTTGCTATGTCGGACACAACCTTGCAACCTGTCCTCACTCGATTTTCTATGTGTAAAAACACAATTCCAAACCATGTCATTGTATCAACTCGCAATAAATTGTTAAAAGAAAACCAGAGAAACAACTTACTGCTGCAAACTGATTTTTAAAATGTTTTATAACATCTGTAAACAACTCGTTTCTAAATGTGAAAATGAAAATTGTTATCAGCGTCCATTGGCTATCACATGACCGATTTGAAACAGATTATTTTATTGGTTGATTAAAATGCAAAGCTGAGCAGGGTCACAGTATTGACTTCGTCCAATCAAACGGCGTCTTATAACCATTTGAAAAATTTATCGCAATCAAAATGCACTTACGATTAATAATATGTCAATAATTAACACGATAATCAACCAACAATGTTTTGTTTTTAGTCCAGGGGACTTTAGGTTTACCCTCTGTCCGTCAGTCCGTCCGTCCACAAAACTGGATCCCGCGATAACTTGAAAAGTACTGAAAATATTTTTATGAAACTTGATATATGGATAGATGGCAGTATGGAGATTATGCACGTCTTTTTCTTTTCTTCCTATGTTGAAAATTCTGGTTGCTATGGCAACAAATAGACTGCAAATATGGCAAATTTTACACATAAACTGGATCCTGTGTTAACGCAAAAAGTACTAGAAATATTTTTATGAAACTTGTAATATGGGTAGATGGCAGTCAGGAGATTATGCATGTCTTTTTCTTTTCTTCCTGTGTTGAAAATTCTGGTTGCTATGGCAACACATAGACTTAAAATATGGCAAGTTTTACACATAAAATTATAATAACAACAATAACTTAAGTATTAATCAACCTACAGCTGTAAAATTTTACAGGATGAACAACCATGTCCAATACATAACCTTTATTAGCTCACCAGAGCCGAAGGCTCAGGGTGAGCTATTAGTATCAAAGGGGGATGCATGCTTCTTCCAGGGTTTTTTTCCAGTATTTTGGGATTATGACCCATACCCTTGAGATTGGGAATTTTAGCGACATTTTGCCCAAATTGGGAAAAAACCCACAACATTTTCAAGTTTCCTGAGGCAATATATTCCTTTTCTAATATTATGGGATTTAGTTCACAAAAGTAGGTCTCTGGTTTTCAAATTTTTGAACTGTGTTATTGTATCACCTGTACCATTTATGAAGACGTTGTCAAAAAAACTCGCACAATTTGCAACAATATCCAACTTTTGCACCACTATAATACAACAATTCATACTTCAACTCGTATTTGTTGGAACTTAATAACCTTTGATCAGGGACAGGGACAACTGTATCTGACTTAAACTCGTCGCTAGAACTTTACAAATGCCGTGAAGGAACATCATTGTGGTAACTCACATTCACCGTTGAAGGCAACTTCTCACTAGTACTTGCAGTATCATTCGCCGTTTTCGTTTTCGAAGTACAACTCTTTTCCGAGAGAGTCGCTTGCTTAAATATTAAATCAATTTTTCTGTCTTTACCAGTGTTTTTTTAAAGTTTTTTAACGTTTGAGACATTTTGATTTACTTTCACTTTCGAAGGTCGTCAGTATCGTTAGACGCTCGAAAAACTTTTTATGAGAAATCAAGCGTCTACTTAACACGTGGGTTGTTTAGACGCCGGCTATTTGCTTAATTTTACGTTCCCCAAAGATCGATATTTTTACGCTCTGGAGTATTCGGTAATCGGCATAGCTAAAAATAGCATTTTCATTGATTAATATGATATTCATGATAATCCGAAGCTTTACGGAAATAGCCGAACATTTTTCATTGGGTAAGAAAGATATTCATCCGCGAAATTTGTGATTGTAACCTCATATTTCTATTGACTAATCTAAACTTTTAATGCACTGTAATTCGTTAAATGCTTACATTAAAAAATATTCTTTCTTTGAAATTGCTGGTTTTTAAGCAGTTTTGAGTGAGAACTACTTTGCGTTGTTAGGACTGTTAGGAAATTTTGTGTTAGACGTGGATGTAAGCTATGTATTTACTGATCTTACGATCAGAAAATACAAAAACCGTAGGGTTAAAATTGGCCCCGCCCCGGGGGGTCATAGATTTTCCCTTTATTTATATAGTCAAAACTTAAAAAATCTTCTTTTAAAAAATCCATTAGCTAGAGCTTAGATATTCAGCATAAAACATCTTCTAGTAGGTGTCTACCAAGTCTGTCAAATAAAAGCCCTGGGGGTCAAAATTGGCCCCGCTCAGGTGGTTTATTGTTTTTTCCTTTATGTTTATAGTAAAAACTTAAAAAATCTTCTTTTAAAAAACCCTAAGAGCTAAACTAGAGGTAAGATATTAAGCATGAAACATTTTCTAATGGATGTCTACCAAGTTTGTTCAAATATAAGGGCCCTGGGTTAAAGTTGGCCCCGCCCCGGGGTCATTGATTTTCCTTATATGTGTATAGCAGGGATTTACCAACCCCTTTTATATTAGGGGTCCATTGGACGCATGATCTATAAAAACAGGGGTCCACCACAAAATTCAGGGGGTCCACTCCCAGACAATTTTCGAAATTGCCGACTGCTCACAGAAGAAGTACACTAAGATTGCAATATAAATGACTATTGTAAACTATTTTAGATTTATTTCTCAAACAAAAACAAAAAACAACTAATTAGTATTTTGACTAGAAACATTTGTTCATTTGAAGCTCTAATCACTTGTATCTATCGAACCAGACAGACCAGAATGTTGTGTCACGTTTCTGTTTTGTGAATTGTTAAGATGATGTACTTGTTCAGTTACAGGCGACGAGACAGGCTCATTGTCATCTCATTTTTGTTTCGGACCACCCCCACCCAAAAACTTCTTAAGTCAGCCTGTAAACCGAAAGTACTGTCAACAGTCATAGATAAAGTTAACAACCGAACGCTCCTACTGATAATAATATCCGGGACATGTAGGTGCTCACTAATTATTGGTTGGTATTTTAAATGCGGACATTAACTAGCCAATAAACTGACGCGTTACTATAAATACCAATTGGTGATTACCATGACCTTCACCACTAACCAAAACATTTTAGATATCGTAAAAATACGGAAAATCGAGTCCATGTGTACGCAGAATTTATTTTTTGTGCGTACAGGATGGCATTTTATGCATATATGACGCAGGATCCTGCGTCCGGTAATAAAAACTTAAAAAAATCTTCTTTAAAAAAACCCAAAGAGCTAGAGTTAGGATACTAAGCTTGACCTATCTTCTAGTGAATGTCTACCAAGTTTGTTCAATTAAAAACCCTGGGGTCAAAAATGGCCCCACCAGGGAGTGGGGGGTCATTGTTTTTCCCTATAATGTGTATAGTAAAAATCTTCTTTTAAAAACCCCAAAGAGCTAGAGCTTAGAAATTTATCATGAAACATCTTCTAATGGGTGGCTACCAAGTTTGTTCAAATCAAAGCCCCTGGGTTTAAATTGGCAGCCCTGGGGGCCCATATACAGGTGAGTCATTTCAGGGCCAACATGGCCCTCTTGTTTTAATTCCCATGTCTTACAAATGCTTCATCCTTGCTAAAAAAAAAAAAAAAAAATACTTTCGGGCATATAATGCTCCGCATAGCGGGCTGTAACGTACAAGGTATTCTGTTACTAGTAACTTCCTCATTTTTGAAGCAGTCTCAGGCAGGGATTATATCACATTTAATGACAGCTTTAGTTAAATTTATTAATTATGTTAACCAATAAATAGCAATGGTAAGTGTGCAGTTTACTAAGAAAAACAGAATCCAGAAAGAAAGGAAGAAAAAAACGAAATAATTGAAATGGACTGTAATGAAAAAATGTAAGACACTTTGTGAATACCTCTGCTGGAGTAATAGTCATGTAAAGAATAATACCTTTATCTATTAGTAAAAACAAATATTTTTTTTCTTTTTCAGGTTAAGCTCAGAACTTTTCAAGACACCACAATACTTATGATGTAATTTTTTAAGTGGGAAAAACAATGGCTTCATATAGTCCTAAACTGTTAGAAAAGAAATACAATAACTGGGTTAAAGCTCAGTTAGCTGTGTTGTTTGCAAAAGACGGACTTGAACCTTTTGTTTGTAATGAAATTCAACAATTTCAACAGAAATGCTTAGATGATATATGTTACAGCAATGGATTATTTAGTGGGACTTCGTGTTCAAATTGCTGTACGGAAAATGTTATTAAATGTCCAACAAATAAAATATGTAATGTTGGACGTGGAAGATGCAGTTATCATCGAAATGCTGCAACAAGGTTTAATCCTGCCGGCTGCCCTAACAAGATATGTCATAATTTTACAACAGAGATACAGAAAGCACACAGGTACTTTGGTCCATCGTACAAGAACACTGATGCTACCCAGTGGTGTAGTAATTCCTGGGAGATAGCTAAATGTTTCATGCCCCCAGATGGCTATAAAGATAAAGCATCTGCAGCAGAAACAGACTTCAATGGTATAATCAGCGTTATCCTCAATTACAAACACTTCCAGGGGAAAGTACATGAAAACCTCAATAATAAGTTGAATATATTTGAAGAGGTAAACAATATTTAGATAATATTTATGAAGACTTACGTTTGGTCCTTATTTACCAAAAACGATAATAATATATTTCAGTGCCCTAAAGTAAAATACAACAGTATTGTATAATATATATGATCAACTTAGATTGTTGTTTTGCTTTCTGAAAATAAAGCACATTGTTACTTAGGTGATTGTCAGTATTAAAGAATGATTTGTAGGCGAGTATAAAGAATTTATTCTGCTCGCAACTTCTGTATTTTTTTAGGAATTCTTACTTTCTTAGATATTTCAAACTTAATTTAACAGAAGTATTACCAACAAAGTCAAGATACATATTGAGATGGTTTCGTGATTTTGTCATTTTTGAAACAATTTTTATATCGATTTTGATATCATAATTGTATTTAAGAGGGATACTGGTGCATAAGACTACAAAATGATTAATACTCCTGGGAAAATATGACAGTTACCCTTTGCCGAGGGCAGTGGTAAATGCAGTCAGTAGACCACACATCTAGCAGACCACTCCTCTAGCAGACCATACCACTAGCTATGAGATTTAAGCTCAACACAGCTCTTATTATACCCCCAAAAACGAAGTTTGGGGGGGTATATAGGAGTCACCCGGTGGTCGGTCGGTCGGGCGGTCGGTCGGTCGGTCCAGACGTCCGTTGCATTTTCCTTGTCCGGAGCATAACTTGAAAACTAATGGTTGGAATTCAATATAACTACATACAATGGTCAAGCACATTGAGAGGAAGTGCAGTGCACAAGAACCATAACTCTATCTTGACTAATTACAGAGTTATTGCCCTTTGTTACTTTTCCTTGTCCGGGGCATAACTTGAAAACTACTGGTTGGAATTCAAAACAACTTCATACAATTGTCAAACACAATAAGGGGAAGTGCAGTGCACAAGAACCATAACTCTATCTAAAGTAATTACAGACTTATTGCCCTTTGTTGCTTTTCCATTGCTTTTTTTTTTGTCCGTTGCATTTTCCTTGTCCGGAGCATAACTTGAAGACTAATGGTTGGAATTCAATATAACTACATACAATGGTCCAGCACATTGAGAGGAAGTGCAGTGCGTAAGAAACATAACTCTATCTTGACTAATTACAGAGTTATTGCCCTTTATTACTTTTCCTTGTCCGTGGCATAACTTGAAAACAACTGGTTGGAATTCAAAACAACTTCATACAATTGTCAAACACAATAAGGGAAAGTGCAGTGCACAAGAACCATAACTCTATCTAAAGTAATTACAGTGTTATTGCCCTTTGTTGCTTTTCCATTGCCTTCTTTTTTTGTCCGGACCATAACTTGAAGACTTATGGTTGGAATTCAATATTACTACATACAATGGTCAAGCACATTGAGAGGAAGTGCAGTGCATAAGAACCATAACTCTATCTAAAGTAATTACAGAGTTATTGCCCTTTATTACTTTTCCATTGCTTTCTTTTGTCCGGACCATAACTTGAAGACTAATTGTTGCAATTCATTATAACTTCATACAATGGTCCAGCACATTGAGAGGAAGTGCAGTGCACAAGAACCGTAACTCCATTTTGACTTATTACAGAGTTACTGCCCTTTATTTCTTTTCCTTGTCCAGATCATGACTTGAAAACTACTGGTTGGAATTCAAAACAACTTCATACAATGGCCAAGCACAATAAGGGGAAGTGCAGTGCACAAGAACCATAACTCCATCTTGACTAATTACAGAGTTATTGCCCTTTGTTACTTTTCCATTGCTTTCTTTTGTCCGGACCATAACTTGAAGACTTATTGTTGGAATTCATTATAACTTCATACAATGGTCAAGCACATTGAGAGGAAGTGCAGTGCATAAGAACCATAACTCCATCTTGACTAATTACAGAGTTACTGCCCTTTGTTACTTTTCCTTGTCCAGAGCATGACTTGAAAACTACTGGTTGGAATTCAAAACAACTTCATACAATGGTCAAGCACAATAAGGGGAAGTGCAGTGCACAAGAACCATAACTCCATCTTGACTAATTACAGAGTTATTGCCCTTTGTTACTTTTCCTTGTCCAGAGCATAACTTGAAAACTACTGTTTGGAATTCAGTACAACTTCATACAGTTGTCAAGGACATTAAAAGGAAGTGCAGTGCACAAGAGCCATAACTCCATTTTGACAAAATACAAAGTTACTGCCCTTTGAAACTTTTCCTTGTCCGGAGCATAACTTGAAAACTACTGTTTGGAATTCAGTACAACTTCATACAGTTGTCAAGGACATTAAAAGGAAGTGCAGTGCACAAGAGCCATAACTCCATTTTGATAAAATACAGAGTTACTGCCCTTTGATACTTTTCCTTGTCCGGAGCATAACTTAAAACGTACTGGTTGGAATTCAAAACAACTTCATACAATGGTCAAGCACAATAAGAGGAAGTGCAGTGCACAAGAACTATAACTCTATCTTCAGTATTTATAGAGTTATTGCCCTTTGTTCTTTTTCTTTGTCTTTCTGGACTTATTACAGAGTAATTCAATTAAACTTCATCAATGGCCAACCACATTGAAAGGAAATGCAACATACATGAACCACAATTATCTTTAATTGCCCACAACCATAACTCTATGTTTCAATTCTATTACAAGGTATTCTGTTACTAGTAACATCCTCATTTCCGAAGCAGACTTGTGGGGGTATTAATCACATTTAGTGATAGTTCTAGTTATGTTTGTAATTCATTATATTATACAAGTCCTAGTAAGTATTTTTTTTACTACATGTATAACATAACAGTTTCTCAGTAAATAGTATATTTTATACTCAACCTATAGGTTTTAGGTAAAAGTAAATAAGAATTCTTATTAAATTTTGACCAGGCAAGAGATATTGGAAGAAAAATGTGTTATTCTTCAACACTTGAAGTAGAGGATTCAGATCTTCAGAAATACTTCAAACTATTACAGAATCTACTTTCTGATCAAGTATATTTAGCTACAGACACGCATGCGCAGAATGCTAAAAAGAAACTCATGGAGGTAAGTATCTAATAACTACTACTTCTACAACTCCTACTACTACTACTACTACTACTACTACTACTACTACTACTACTACTACTACTACTACTACTACTACTACTACTACTTCTACAACTACTACTACTAATTATTTCTACTACAATCACAACTGCTACTTACTACTGCTACTTACCAATACTACTACTGCTACCACTACCCCTACCGCCAACGCTAACTACCGCTACCACTACCACAAGTACCACTAGCACTACCACCACAGTGACTACCACCACCACTACCACTTCTGCCACTACTACTACCGTGACTACTTCTACCACTACTTCCACTACTACTACCACCATTATCACTACTACCATTACCACCACTACTTCTACTACCACTACTACTACTCATTGTCCTCCGCCTTTTCAAAAAAAAAAGGGGGATATAGTTATAGGCTCCGTCTGTCCTTCCGTCCGTCTGTCCGTCACACTTTCGTGTCCGGTCCATAACTTTGTCATTTATCAAAGGAATCTGAAATAACTTGGCACAAATGTTTGTTATAGTAAGACGATGTGTCGTGCGCAAAAACTAGACCCCTAACTCCAAGGTCAAGGTCGCACTTGCTCATTCAAGGTCAACATTGTCTATTTGATGGTATATGTCGTGTCCGGTCCATAACTTTCTTATCTTTGAAGGGATTTTCTAAATACTTGCCACAATTGTTCACAATAATGAGACAATGTCTCATGCACAACAACTTGTCACCTACCTCCAAGGTCAAGGTCACAATTGGAGGTCAAAGGTTAACATAGTCTATTACAGGGTATATTTTGTGTCCAGTCCATAACTTTTTCATTTATCAAAGGATTCTAAAATCACTTGGCACAAATGTTTGTTATAATAAGTCGATGTGTCATAACCAACAACCAGACCCCTACCTCCAGGGTCAAGGTCGCACTTGGTCATTCAAGGTCAACATTGTCTATTTGATGGTATATGTTGTGTCCCGTCCATAACTTTCTTATCTTTGAAGGGCTTTTGTAAATACTTGCCACAATTGTTCACAATAATGAGACAATGTGTCATGCGCAACAACTTGTCACCTACCTCCAAGGTCAAGGTCACACTTAGGGGTCAAAGATTAACATAGTCTATTACAGGATATATTTTGGGTCCAGTTCATAACTTTTTTATAGATCAAAGGATTTTGTAAATACTTGCCACAAATAGTCACTATAATAAGACAATGTCAACGTGTCATGCACAACACCTGCATCCCTACCTCCAAGGTCAAGGTCACACTTAGAGGTCAAAGGTTAATAGAGTCTGTTATATGGTTTATTAGCTCACCAGAGCTGAAGGCTCAGGGTGAGCTATAAGTATCAAAGGGGACGCTCCGGCGTCCGTCGTCCGTCGTCATGCGTCAACAATCGTCTTCTTCTCTGAAACTACTCGGCAGATTTACTTCAAATCTGGTCTGTAGCATCCTTGTGACAGTCACACTTGAATTTGCTCATATCATTCCAATTGGCCCCTTTAAGGGGTCATCAGAGCTAAAAATAGAAAAACCTTTAAACATCTTCTTCTACAGAACTAATGGATGGATGATCACCAAACATTGTCTGTAGCATTCTTGGGTAGTGTTTTATCAAGTTTGCTCATATTAATTTGATCGGCCCCTTTTAGGGGTCTCTAGGGCTAAAAATAGAAAAAACCTTTAAACATCTTCTTCTACAGAACTAATGGATGGATGATCACCAAACTTTGTTTGTAGCATTCTTGGGTAGTCTTTTATCAAGTTTGCTCATATGAATTTGATTAGCCCCTTTTTGGGGCGGCTAAAGCTAAAAATAGAAATACCTTTAAATGACTATTTCTACAGAACTAATTGATGGATGATCACCAAACATTGTCTGAAGCATTGTTGGGTAGTGTTTTATCAAGTTTGGTCATAATTTTGATTGGCCCCTTTTTAGGGGTCACTAAAATTAAAAATAGATATACATGTAAACATTTATTGCTACATAACTAATTGATGGATGATCACCAAACTTTATTGGGTTGTCTTTTATTAAGTTTGGTCATATTAATTTGATTAATCCCTTTTAGGGGCCGCTTAAATTAAAAATAGAAATACCGTTAAATGTATATTTCTAGAGAACTAATTGATGGATGATCACCAAACTTTGTCTGCAGCATTCTTGGGTAAGGCTCCCACGTTTACAATTTTCTGTAAACGTTTACACGATTGCTAAGAACCGAAACGATACCGTTTAAACGGTGGTACTTCTACCATGTATTCGAGTCGGCAAATGATGACATACTTTCTATTTTTAATACATATACAAATAAATAATGTTTAGGGCTCATCACGATTGTGTCGGCACACATTTTCTGCATTGTGTACCAATTTCGCTCTTTTGAAAGATCAAAGGAAAATCAACTTTACCAAAAATGTATTATGCCACAAGCGATTATTGCACTGTGATGCTGTTCGGAGGGTTGTAAACACCCATTTTCCATTTTCACTTTGGGGAATAAACCAATTGGAATTGATAAAAGCCATGATTACAGGCAATGATTAAGATATTCCGTAAGACAATATGGTAATTTCGATTAAACGGTAAAAGATATCGTAAACGTTTAGGAATGAAAATCGAAACGAATCCGTTTAAACGTTTAACCGTGGGAGCCTTATTCTTGGGTAGTCTTTTATCAACTTTGGTAATATTATTTTGATTGGCCCCTTTTAGGGGTCTAAAGGGCTAAAAATAAAAAAAAGCTTTTAACATCTTCTCCTATAGAAGTAATGGATGGATAATCACCAAACTTAGTATGTAGTATGCTTAAGTAGTGTTTTATCAAGTTTGCTCATATTAATTTGATTGGCCCGTTTAAGGGGCCACAAAATCTAAAAATAGAAATACCTTTAAATGTCAATTTCTAGAGAACTAATTGATGGAAAGTCTGTTATCAAGTTTGTCTTTTATTAAGTTTGGTCATATTAATTTGATTAATCCCTTTTAGGGGCCGCTTAAATTAAAAATAGAAATACTTTTAAACATCTTCTCCTACAGAACTAATTGATGGATGATCACCAAACTTTGTCTGTAGCATTTTTGGGTAATCTTTTATCAAGTTTGCTCATATTCATTTGATTGGCCCCCTTTTAGGGGCTGCTTAAGCTAAAAATAGAAAAACCTTTTAACATCTTCTACTTCAGAACCAATTGATGGATAATCACCAAACTTTGTCTGTAGCATTCTTGGGTACTCTTTTATCAAGTTTGCTTATATTTATTTGATTAGCCCCTGTTAGGGGCCACTAAAGCTAAAAATAGAAAAAACCTTCGAACATCATTTCCTACTGAAATAATTGAAAGATGATCACCAAACTTTGTAGCATTCTTAGGTAGTTTTTTTTATCAAGTTTGCTCTTATTAATTTGACTAGCTTGGTTTAAGCAAAGCTTAGATACCCCAGGTCATTGCATTTTTTCAAATTATTGTTTAAACATATTCTATGCTCAAATTTAATATTAGAATATATTGACATTCTAACACTGAAAAGCAGTTGTTTCTGGTGAGCGACTCAGGGCCATCATGGCCCTCTTGTATTGTATATTTGTATTGTATTTATAATTACAGCTGGAAAATGACACTTTAGTCATTGGTAAAGATGATATAAGAAAAGGACTAGATTATGTGGCAAATGCAGTTCAAGACGAGATGAAGGCTGGATTAGACGAGCAATATGACAGAATTAAATTTGATATGATAAAAAGAAAACAAGAAGATCTTCTATCTCTTCAGACAGATTTCGCCGAGGGAGTGACACAATTAAAAGATGAAGCTGATGCTGCTGTTAAAAGACTGCATGAACGAGAAAAAGAAGTTGTGAAAATCCATATACAAGGAGATAAAGAACGAGCAGACCTAGCTGGGTTAGGAGAGACGTTACAAAAAGCACTGAAAACAGCAAGTAAAGATGAGAAAGAAAAAGAATATATTGAATATAAACAAAGTAAGTGATCAATATTAATCACATAGTTTCATTTGTTTTCTATATATATTACTAAACGTATTCCTTTGTACTTCACCCCTTACAACATATAACCATTGAAACTTCAGTTTTGCACCATATGATGTTCTAATATCATCAATTCATTATTTGATCCAATCTTATTTTTCTCATGTTCATTTCCTGAGTCCAGAAGTCTGTATCAATGCATATTTTACGCCATCTACATGATCTAGCATGGCTTTAAGTTATCCCAAAAAATAAAATCTATTTCAAATTCATTTTATATACCACAAGCCTCGTTGTCAGTTTCTGTGTCAAAAACGTTCATATCAAATTCATATTGTACTCTAAGTTACTACATCGTAATAGACATTTTTAGCTCACCTGAGCATGCTCAGGGTGAGCTTTTAGGATCGATGATTGTCCGTCGGCCGTCCACATTTAGTTCGTGAACACTCTAGCAGTCGCATTTATTTCTCAATCATCATGAAACTTTGTCAGAATATCTTTCTCAATAATATCTCGGATGAGTTCGATCATGGTTGACTTCCGATGAAAAATTAGGTCACAGGAGCTAAAAATAGAAAAAGCTTGTTAACAGTCTAGTGGCTGCAGTTTTGATCCAAATATTCTGGAAATTTGTCAGGAAGGTTGTTTTGATGATTTCTAGGTCAAGGTCGTAGATGGGTAATCTCCGGTCAAAAACTAGGTCACAGGAGCTAAAAATAGAAAATTTTTGTTAGCACTCTAGTGGCTGCAGTTTTCATCCAAGTCAGGAAGGTTTTTTTTGATGATATCTAAGTCAAGTTCAAAGATTGGTCATGTCTGGTCAAAAACTAGGTCACAGGAGCTAAAAATAGAAAAAGCTTGTTAACACTCTAGTGGCTGCAGTTTTCATCCAAATATTCTGGAAATTTGTCAGAAAGGTTGTTTTGATGATTTCCAGGTCAAGTTCGAAGATGGGTCATCTCCGGTCAAAAACTAGGTCACAGGAGCTAAAAATAGAAAAAAGCTTGTTAACACTCAAGTGCCAAATATTCTGAAAATTGGCCAGGAAGGTTGTTTTGATGATTTCTAGGTCAAGTTTCGAAGATGGGTCATGTCCTGTCAAAAATATGGCTGTGCATTGCCATTTTTCTCTGTCACGATACGTATCACAATACTGGTTTTTCAAAACGATGCGATTCATGATATGCAGGCCTCGACATTAGCGGTGGTCCGTTGGTCCGAGACCACCTGATTTTGGCAAGGACCACCTAATTTTAAAAGCCGCTGGTCTGTCGGACCACTTGAATTTTCTGGTTGGTGCAGACTCATTTGGGAGAATGGTGATTTGGTCAAAAACATGTTGTAAACATTTTCTTTAAATCATTTGTCCGATGTACATGTATATGGTTCATTAATTATCTGATTAGTTAAAGAAGTTCTTAAGTCATCTATAACTTTCATTTTAAGTCGCTAAAATTTGGTTTATGCAAGTTAAAAGAGTTTAGACTTTGTGATATCAATTAAGGTACACAATTCATTCAAATGATGCTAATAATTATGCATCGTCGGATACCTACGGTGGAACCAGTAACATTTACGTTATATTAAATGTTAATTAACCGTGGGCATCCGACGATGGTAATTATGATATTGTATGGGATATAAGATAAACTTAAAATTTCATATACTTAAATAATGGCAGCAAACAAAAGGAACTGGAAAAATACATCTAGTAATTCTTTCCTACTTATCTTTATTTTAACTGTTTAACGATAGAGATCCATTTCCTCTAGAGTTAAAATTACTTTAAAAGGTTAAAAATACTCATGTTAAAAATAAACATCAACCAACAAGCAACAGGGAGGTAAAAATTAGGTATTATACATCTGTGAGAAAAATAAGCTTAACTATAGTTATATATAACATTAGTTTTATTTTTTTATCCTCTAGCTATTTCCTTGTTTTAAGATAATTTATTAGTTTTATTAAAAATGTTAATCTATAAAAGATACATGTAATTATCATAATTAAAGAACATAAATAAGAGCCCTGTTGTGTATTTTTGAATGACATATAAAAAACCAAATAACTTTATGATAAAAAACCTACTAACTTGCTCTCCTTTATTTCTGATTAGATAAAAATATATATCTAAAATATCTGTTTTCTTAAGGTTAATGATACATCTTTGTCATCAATTTTAAACATATATTTTTCTAAATTTGCAGTTAAATGATATAATAATAATTGACCACCTGACTCCTGGAAGGACCACCTTAATTTCAAATCTAGTGGTCCGGCTAACCACCTGCTAAAAAAGTTAGTGTCGAGGCCTGATATGTATTGCATACTTTGAAGAAATGCGATTCTTATTTTGCGATGTGATACGTATCAGGATACTGACTTTCAGACTTAGTACATAAAATTTTGCCATTTGTTTACAGCATAATTACGAATATAATAGAAAAATATTACAATAACAAAAAAATAAACTCTTTAACTTGTTGTTATAACTTGGTTTCCGATTTTGATCTTTCAACAATTTACTTTTCTGATTACTTAAGGATTAAAGGTATTGTTAATTATACCATAACATATCTACTATTCTAACAATAAAGTCCTCTACTGTAAATATGGCAGTCTAAAGATTTTTCTTGTGAAAAAAATAGTAACAAGTGATTTACAATTAGCTCAACAACTGTGAAAATAACAGTTTATCAGTTACACTCTCATTTTTCTCGAAAGATTTGTGCTCAACCACAGAGTATTTTATTTTAAGTTTGCAAATTTTGCAAACACTCCACATCCGGTCTTCCACATTATAAAACACTGTCTGACTTGTGTCTGTTGGTTCCCCAAGAACTACACTGCTCCAAAAACTCGTGAATTATATGACCAGGGAGGATTAACTATAGTTTCTCCTTCTAAATATTTTGCAGTCTACATGTTTTCTGTTTGTTTGTTTTGGGGTTTTTTACGGGAAAATGATGTCAACGGAAATGAAAGTATAAATACGTGACGAATATCACATGGGAATGTTGTCATCATCACTATTTTAAATTACAAATTAATGTTTGAAGGTTGTTTTTTCTTGAAAACACATAGATCTCTAATTATTTTTTGTGTCGCCTTGAAAAGGTGACATATAGGGGTTACTTTTGTCGGCGGTGTCGGCGGCGGCGTCTGTGTCGGCGTCGGCGTCCCCTAAAGCTTGTCCGGAGCATAACTCAGTCACTATAAGTCTGATTGACTTCAAACTTGGTATGCATGCTTCTTTCAATAACCCGAAGTGCAGTGTACAAGGACCTGTACTCTGCAGTTCTTATTTTTTGAGTTATTGCCCTTTGTTAATTTTCATACTTTAATTTTGTCCGGGCCATTTCTCTTCAACTAAAAAAGCTATGGACTTGAAACTTCATAGGATGATAGATCTCATTATTAAGAAGTGCAGTGCACAAGAACCAGTACTCTGCACTTCCTAATTTTTGAGTTATTGCCCTTTGTTAATTTTCATACTTTATTTTTGTCCGGGCCATTCCTCCTAATGTATAAAAGCCATGGACTTGAAACTTCATAGGATGATAGGTCTCATTAAGAAGAAGTGCAGTGCACAAGAACTGGTACTCTGCATTTTTTATTTTTTTGAGTTATGGCCCATTGTTAATTTTCATACTTGATTTTTTGTCCAGGCCATTTCTCTGAAAGTATAAAAGTTATGGACTTGAAACTTCATAGGATGATAGATCTCATTAAAAAGAAGTGCAGTGCATAAGAACTGATACCCTGCATTTCTTATTTTTGAGTTAATGCCTTTGTTGATTTTCTTACTTTATTTTTGTCATGGTCATTCTTCTCAAGTATGAAAGCTATGGACTTGAAACATCATAGAATGATAGATCTTATTGATAAGAAGTGCAGTGTACAGAAACTGCTGCTCTGCACTTATTATTTTTTTAGTTATTGCCCTTTGTTATTTTTCATTTTTGTCCGGCCATTTCACCATAAACTACAATATAAGATTAACAGACAGACACATCACGACTCGCGAGTTACTAAGTTTATTTAAACAAGTTCAAAGAAACCAGACCCATTTATAGATTGATAAAACTTGGTAAGTATTGCTTAAACGATGACGAGACTCATGGAAAACGAGAATGAACAACGACTGATAATGATTAATAGTACGCAGCTTGTTGCATTAGTTTTTAATCCAAAACATATAATTATATCTTATCTTTCCCAGCTTTCCAAAAATACGGATATTGTCCTTATATTCCATAAGAGAAGATAATTTTGATTAGGTAGTTATTGCAAATACTTCCCACTTTAAATTAATCGATACATCCGGGAGGGTGAAATAATAGTATTGTCAATCACTATTATATATTGCACTTTTAATTGTCCATTACGAATGACATACATCGAGGACAAGGCAGATCGCGCTGCATTGATGAATCGTTACACCTCTAGTCAAAAACTAGGTCACAGATTCTAAAAATAGAAAAAAGCTTGTTAACACTCTAGTGGCTGCAGTTTTCATCCAAATATTCTGGAAATTTGTCAGGAAGGTTGTTTTGATGATATCTAAGTCAAGTTCAATGATTGGTCATGTCCGGTCAAAAACTAGATCACAGGAGCTAAAATAGAAAAAGCTTGTTAACACTCTAGTGGCTGCAGTTTTCATCCAAATATTCTGGAAAATTTGTCAGGAAGGTTGTTTTGATGATTTCTAGGTCAAGTTAGAAGATGGGTCATGTCCGGTCAAAAACTAGGTCACAGGAGCTAAAAATAGAAAAAGCTTGTAAAACACTTTAGTGGCTGCAGTTTTCATCCAAATATTGTGGAAATTTGTCAGGAAGGTTGTTTTGATGATTTCTAGGTCAAGTTCGAAGATGGGTCATGTCCGGTCAAAAACTAGGTCACAGATTCTAAAAATTGAAAAAGCTTGTTAACACTCTAGTGGCTGCAGTTCTCATCCAAATATTCTGGAAATTTGTCAGGAAGGTTGCGTTGATGATTCCTAGGTCAAGTGCGAAGATGGGTCATGTCCTGTCAAAAACTAGGTCACAGGAGCTAAAAATAGAAAAAGCTTGTAAACACTCTAGTGGCTGCAGTTTTGAACCAAATATTCTGGAAATTTGTCAGGAAGGTTGTTTTGATGATTTCTAGGTTAAGTTCGAAGATTGGTCATGTCCGGTCAAAAACAAGGTCACAGGAGCTAAAAATAGAAAAATTTTGTTAACACTTTAGTGGCTGCAGTTT